CATGAAAGTACATATCACGCTTATTCATTTTCAGTGACACAAGAAGTTTTCTTATAAAATGTATAGAATTTGATCAGTCATGAAGAGATAATTACTTTTTTCCCGACCACTATGTGTAGAATGTGCACTACTATCTACAAGTATGTATTAACTATCAGCAGACAGAAAACTCACAAAGGAAAACAACAATTTAAAGTCCTGAAAACAATAGGGCCACTCCGAAACATCTGCCACTTCCTACAACCTCCAATCTCATTTTAGGACAAGAGGAAAGAAAATGTCTCTCAAAGCAATCCTGATCAATCATCCTCTTGTATCTTTCATGTCTTCAAGAGAAAAGCCTACACTCTTTGAAAACAGATGCATTCTTTTTTAAGCTGACTATTAAGAACCAGATTTAAAAAGACATTTAGACCTTAGGGTTCTTAATTGAACCTTGCAGTTCTCAAATGAAAACTCAGCTACCATCTTTCAGTGTTGAGACGTGTAGGTGCCTCATCTTTGGCACTAGAGCTCTCTGATGATAAGGGTTCAAGCAAGCCTACAGTGGCAAATCATTGCCATTTGCTGGTCTTTGCTCCTCTTCTCTGATGGACAGGTTGAAAGTGATCCCTGGAAGTCTGCTAGTTCAGCTTCTCATTCAAAGCATCTCCAACTAAAGTATCTTGCTCAGTTAGATTTTGAATTTCTTGAAGGACTGAGATTCCACAATATTCACTGAAAGTCCATTCCAGCATTTGATTATATTAACAGTGAAAATGTTTTTCCTCACAGGCAGAATTTCTTGTATTGAAACTTGTGTCCATTAGCTCTTCTCCTGTCACCATACATCTCCAAGAAGAGTTTGGATCTCTTTCCTGTGTTCACCCTATCAGACTTGGTTCATATACATGCTCAGCATTTGTGATCTTAATGACACTGCTGCATTCAAAACCGTGTGTTACTCTCTTGTGCTGGGCAGCAAAAACAGTACTCCAGAAGCAGTCTCATAAGCATCAGAGAGAGGGAACAATCACTTCCCTAGACCTGCTGGTTACAGCTTGCTAATACAACGTGGGATGAGGCTGACCTTGTTTGCCCCAAAGGCTGACTTGTGCTCATTTTGTCCACCAGTACCACAGGTCCCTTTCTACAAAGCTGCTCTTCAGTCAGATCATCTCCAGCAAGTCCAAGACTTCTCACTTGTCTTTGCTGAGCTTGGTCAGACTCCTGGAAATGCATTCCTCCAGCCTGTCTTTGTCCCTCTGAGCAACAGCCCTGCCCTCTGGCATATCAACTCCTTCCCTGAAGGCTGGTATCATCCATGAATCTGCTGATAGTGCCAGCTCTCCCATTAGCAGTGAAGACACCAAACTGCATTTACCCCAGAATCTGTCCCTGAAGAGGACTGCCACTAGCAACCAGCTGTGGGATGGACTTTGTACTGCCAATCACAACCTGTCTGGCCTGAAATTTCAACCAGTTTTCCATCCACATTATAATATGCTTATCTTATCCATATCTATTTTGACTCCTATGATACTATCAAAGACTTTGGGAAAAGCTCTGCTAAAGTCAAGGTAAACATCACTCACTATTCTTCCCTCATCCATAGAATCAATCCACCTCACAGTGATCAATCAATCAGGTTCATTGGGGCAATCTGCCCACGGTAAATTCATGCTGCCTATTTTTAATCACCTTCTTTCACTTCATGAGCTCAGAAATTGTTTCCAGGAGTAAAAATCTTCCAGGAGGCTGAGATTAGAGTTCTTAGCTTGTAGTTCCCTGGATCATCTTTCTCAGCTTTCTTGAAGATGGGTATGACCTTTGCCTCTTCTGTCCACCATGGACCTCTCCAGTCACCACAGCAAAGCTGATAGGCAGAACACTCACGCTGCCATTGGCTAGATTCTGTATTTGCAGTCAGTCTAGAGTGTTCTGTTAATCTATACTGGCCTTGCACTGCCTTTGCTTACCTTTCTTGACTTGGAAGGGATCAGTTCTGTGTTTTGAGAAGGCTGTTCTTGAAGGTCAACTAGCCGTGCCAGGGCAACTGACTACCTCTTATGAGATCCTGTCCAGTAGATTTCCAAACAAGTTGAAATTTGCCCTTTGGAAGTCAAGACTGGCAATTCTATTATTTTTCTTGTTTATCTTAGGATTTTAAACTATACAAACTCAGAGTTGCACCCAAAGCTACCTTCAACCTCTACACCCTTAGACAGATTGTTCATGAGTAAAGTCCAGTCAGGGCATCTCCTCCAGTTACCTCACCAATTACCTATGTCAGGAAATTGTCATTGAATTTTCTGCACTTAATCCACCCTTCAAGTGCTGATATGTTTGGAACCTGGTATTCATAGAACAAGGTATTGCACTTTCACTGTTTTGACAGCAGAGATCTCACTTCACCTTGAAAAACTGAATATCCTTAGCACCTGCCACAGGGAATCTTGGGGAGAAGGCTCCTCTAGCAGAGCTGTAGTGCTGAGGAATAATACTGTGGCTCTGATGCAAAGGGCTAGTAACATATTCCAAGGATAAATGTGATAAAGAGGTTAGAAACGTAGTGCCAAGGCCTCTTGTGACAGCTGCGAACTTCATCACCTCTAGTGAGGCTAGGAGTGGACAAGGAGACTGAGGGAACATTCTCAGGTTGTTGGTGCTAGTTTGCAGAGCAGCCCTACTCATGTTGAGTCCTATCTACTCATCAGTGTCCAAGGAACACATAGCACACCAAGACTCACCAGTGCCAAGGCTGGCAAGTTTGCAGTCACTTCATGTAGACTTTTACCAGGTGCAACAGTACTGGATATGATTCCCTGTTGCCATATTTCACTTGTCAATGAGCTTCCTTTATAATTTCATGTGCCCAAGAAGTCTTGACATAGTGAGTATTAGAGCTGCTTCCTTGAGGGAAGATCCCTTAGGAGAATGGCCCCATATTGATTCAGCAACTAAGAGTTTCGTCAGTTCACAGCTATTTAATGTGGTCATAGAATTCTGAATTTAAGGATGTCTTCGTAACTTTCCAAGTCTGTAATTCGGCTATTCAAGCTGCTGAACTCTTCTTGTTCTAAAATAATGATGAACGTTTATCAGAAATACATGACCTTCTGAGTAGTTAAGGCTCCTGGTTTGCACAGGATGACAGGACCTAGACTTTTTAAGACATGCTGAGTGAAAAGCTGGCTTTGGAGAAAACTTGTAGAGGCACATCTATATCTTGAATGTCTAAAAAACATAAAACAACTGTCTCCCTGTCTGATACTCATTCACCTCAGCACTGTTCCCATGAGAAACTTGTGTGGGGTGTTCCTCAAATCATATCCTACACAAAAAGGGAAAAGTCTCTGAGCTTGAGTAATAGGAAAGAAATGATTGGTCCTGAAGGTAACAGAGCCTCTACCAGGAAGCATTTACATTCTTAAGCCAAGCTCTTTCAGTTACCTCCATACATTAAAAATCCCATAATGTTATTGAAGATTTCACAAATATGCAGTTAAGATGCTTTTAGACTACAGGAAAGTTCTCTTGAAATAGGAGAATACCCTGTGTGAAAACAGAGTTTGGTGTCAGTTGAAAAGTCACGTTTAGTATTGCTATTTTTAATAACTAGCTGTTTCTGATTTTTTTTTCCTCCCATTTAAAACAAGTAAAACTTCAAACAGCTACTTGGAAAAACGATTTAAACGATTTGAAGGATTTTAAGTGAAATGGAAAACTTAAATGGATGCTAACTGTATGTGAAACACCAATGGCTAGAGTTAAAGAAAAATTGGGATGCTGCCCTCCCAATTTAGTCTTTGCAGTTCTGAAGCATCTGGCTCCTTTTATTTTATATGAAATGCAGAACTAGAACCTGGTTTAGAAGAAAAGTGCAGTAAAGCAAGAGGAGATTCTATTCTAACAGCAAGTGCTTTATACAGTGTTTCTCAGCGGCATGTGAATCACAACAGCTGGGCTAGAAAAGTATGGACTTTACTGAAAAGATGACACTTTTGCTTTTAAAAGAGGGAAAAACAAATCATCCTGTTTCTTCATTTCCATTCCTGACTTCCCATATCCTCTGCTTTACTTGCATAATAAATGCAGATTCTTTTTCATAATGTCTTATTGTATAAAAAATTTTTTCGCTGAATAACATGAATTTACTTAACTTTGACTACTCTGAGCTAGTGTCGAGGTCTAAACTGCACATTTCTTCTTCATTCATATGCAGAGGTATTTGGCTTGTCCTTCTGGAGTCTTCCAAGGCTTTAAAGAAATTTAAAGGTCATACCTGTGCTGGGACTCTTACACAGGATTAGCCATTGCATTATTCTGCAGAAACCAAGCCATTAGTTGTTGAAGACAGAGGAGGTGTGAGGATGATGATGATGTACTATTCTGGGCTCCAGACAAACCCTTTTGCATCACTGGAATGGTAAAATTTCTACTGTGAGCTGTTAGAAGAGCTACCTCTCCCCATTTTTCTTAAGCACAGCATGGATTTGATATAATTGCATGGGAAAGGGGAGGAGTTCTAATTGAAAATCAACAGTTAAAACTCAGTACTTCTTTTTCAGTTGCTTAACTTTACTGTTTGCAACATAAAATCATAATCTGGGATTAACTGTAATTTCATTCTCCCCTTCACACTTACGGGGGTGTCATCGATCTCCAGATAGATATTCTGTAGCTCCAGTGGCAAAGTCCTGGTGAGAGGAGGTTGAGGAAGGAGAAGATGGAAAGAAGTGTAAAATGGGTGCAAATTACCAAGGGTTAAAACCAATGGGTCTGTGGGAGGGCAGCAGTAGACAATGCAGTGTTTTGGTACTTCAGCATTCAGGTTTAATATTGACTGAAAATATTAATATTACTAAAATCAAGCCTGTGATATATGTCCTCTGTCCCTCTCATCTACATGAAAACATGTAGGAAGCATACCATTCTTACAGCACCCCTTATTTGCCAGGCTTTAGACGTGGAATTTATTTCATATATGCATTTATTTTAAAACTCGTCTACAAAAAAATAAAAGGGGGGGAAGTATATAGGTAAAGAAAATCTAAATATAGATGTGCTATGGTCCAAAAGGTCCTCTCTTAGATTCTTCACAAGTAGAGGAGAGAAACTTATTTCCAAATCTCAGCCTTGAAAATATCCAGCAGGCTCTCTTTATGCTCAACTTCCCTCCATCAACCTCACTCCCTCAACCTTCTCCAAGGCCTGCAGACTCCAAATTTTAGGTCTTTGGATGCAGTGCAAAGTTTGGGGGCAAACAGACTGAAAGCTGGCAACAAAAGGAAAATATAACACCACTGTTATCAGCCAAAAAGCCTTTTCTAACTCATTTTTGTATCACCTGTGTCCATCCCACATGGACAAGCTGTGTACAAAATGAAAGTTTTCTATTCCTTTTTTCTTAAAAACACCACAAGATGACAGTCATACCCTACCTCCCCTGGAAAAGAAATAAGAGCACAGTTAACAATTCAGCCAGGTGCACTCCTTTCAAAATACCTGTGACAACTGGGCTAAGCAAACCAGAGGAAATATTTCTCAAAAGAGCCACCACTTTATCATCCTTTTAAAGAGCAACAGGGAAGCGCTAGCAGCACCTAACTGCCTTAACTTCAGATTTGTTCTACTCCCTCACCAGTGATAACAAGGGGGACAATGTTCTATCCTGCTGTTATCTGAATAGTGTGGATGCTGGAGCCTTTGAAGGAGGACTAGAAGAAGGAGTCCTGTCTTCCTCTGATTCTTATTTCTACATTGCCTTGCACTGATGCTGCCCTTCACACAGTGGTAGCAAGTCCATTTAAAAGACAATTTTTTGTCCTATAAATTTTCATCTGAATTAATCTTTAAATATGTTGCAGTATAGGTGTGTGAAATGCTAATGCCAAGATGAATGAAGGAAGAGGAGGATGAGGATGTATGATGTGCTTCTTTTTGGAGGCAGCACCTATTTTAAGCTATTAAGAAACTGTGGAACAACTTGCTGTTACTCAACTACTAGGAGTGGTTCCAGAACTTGCCAACAGCTTTGAGTATTTAGTGCATAACTGTAGAAAGCAACTCTGCTGGAGGGAAAAGCTATCAATAACATTCAGGAGCTGGCTACTCTGACTACAAATGCTACAAATACATGAGCTACTAGTTTAGCAAGTCAACTACTGCATTAAGTTAGGAACATCATTATCTAAATTATTTACCTGCAGGTTTTCAGCATCAGGGATTTACCCAAAATCTCAGTTGCTCCTATATGGAAACAGCACCTGAGAGACCGATGTTGGTCAAGAGGAGATGCGGATACTGTGCACATGTTTTGATGTATCAGAGGTGATACATCAGATACATCAGAGCTGCCTCCTTAGTTACATTACATTCCATATTTTGAGGCGATGTGAGCTTTTATATCAAAACTTGTCCAATAAAAGTTAGGAGTTGTCTGTTAAGATTTTTCTTCCTCAGAGGTTTAAGGGGCTCTTAAAGAACGTGAAGTATTTGTCCCCAAATAATTTTATGTATGCAGTCTTAAGTTAATATATAATCTGGCACACAATTCAAGAGTTACTTCCTGTAGTAGCTAGTTTGTGGTAATGACATGTCATTTCTGTAGATTGTGTAAACTGCTGGCTGTTTTCATACTTCAATAAAATCTGTTTGCAGAGCTTGTACTTCTCCTTTCATTACAATTAGGCAGAAGTTCAAACAACAAAACTTTATTATTCATGTCTGTAAGTTAAATAAAAACTGCCAAGTATAAAACATTTTTAAACCAATATAACAATGTGCAAAACACTGCTAAATTCTACTGAAATTACAGTGTACTTTCAGAAGCGACTGATGTGCAAACGAGTAACACAAGTACTGTCTGCTTGCAAGTCTCCCATCTCCTCTCCACACACCTCTTATTTCTTGTCTAAGTGGCTCATCATGGAGTATATGAGTACGGCTAAACTCTGGGATCAAACACTACGAATATATATACATTCAAACTGTGCTTTGTATCTTGTATTCAGACCAAAAATGTTAACAATCTATTTCTCTCTTCCAACTTTACAAAAATCCTGAAAACTCTTTTTTTACAGATCAAGATATATATGAAATACTTTAAAGTTGTAGACCCTTACTAAAATTGGCAACACTTCTGCAGAATATGAACTCAACTGGTGAGTTTCTCTGCAAGTATCTTTACTTACCATCTTTGAGCAGTGAACTGGCAGCAGTTTTGTCCAATTAATTTTGACATGGATGAAAGATGATGAAGCTAACTGTTTAATCAGCACTTAAATCCTGACTACTTTTAAACATCCGTAAGACATTACACAGAATACTAGTACTCTAGTTTTAAGAGATGATCCAACACTTTCTGAGAAACAACACTCAATTCCTGGACTCCGGTTCCAACAGTTATACATGCATATACAAACCCCTTTTAGGTAGTTGAGTTCAAGTCTTGGAAGCAATGCTGGGAGCTGTGACTTAAACGGCTCATGTTCTCTGGCTGATAGGTGAGGGCACCAGCACAAAGAACAGTGCACAAGTGAGGCTGGTACAGTGCTGCATTTGATAGTTGGTGCTCCAAACTTGCCACCCGAGATAGCTGACCTGCAGTGGCCTCTCCTCCTGACACACCCAGGCTCCAGCACATGCCTATTTACTGCTTCCTTTCCAAATGTTAAACTTCCCATAACTTTATTTGCAACTTTATTACAAAGGTGTGGGTGTTACTATTTACAGCTACTTCATATTAAAGATCAGCAAGCTTTACTAAGGCAATAACAATCCAGTTAGATGATCAGTGACTTTGCTTTAGCCAATTTTAAAATTTGTTCCTAAAATCCAGTGCACAGTTCGCTGGTAAGGCAATGGACAAAACTCCATCACACAGGACACCCACTTTCAAAACACCTAGAAAGCTGCAGTGGTTCAAAGTGCATGTCAGCTTTACAAAAGGCTAGTGACTGCACAGCATATGTTTTCTGCTGGACTTTTGTCATGTACTAAGGCAGGGGGAGATGTGCTGAGCTACCTAAAAGGCCATATAAAATAATGATTGCCAATTTTTCCTTCAAAAATTTGCTAGCATCACATGCCCTCACTTTCCATGAAAAGATGGTGAAGGATATTGAAGCTGCTTCAACGATTTGTTTGAGAAGTGCCTGTTCCTCTCCAGCTAACACTGAACCAGTTGCAAGCATATAAAAGTCAGATTCACTGACCTCTATACTTAGGAACCACAGCTGGCCATCGAAACCAGCAAGAACAAACAAAAAGCATCTCTTTCTTTCTGCCTCTTCACCGGAACCAGAAGAGCACCAAAAAGCAGACCTTTGGTGACTCTTTATTACAACAGATGTTCAGTATATCATCCAAATACCCAGTGGAGTATTTAATGAAAACCTTTTTTTACAGAACAGTGTTAATGAATTCAAGCCACAAACCTCTTTATTCTACAGTAATTGTGCTTATGAAGATCATATACTAGAATTGGAAACTCTTCCCTCTCTCCAACTGTAAGTTTGGTTTGTGGGGTTTTTTTTTGGGGGGGTGGGTTTTTTTGGTGGTGGTGGGGGCTTTTTTTGTTTGGTTGGTTTGGTTTTTCTGAGTTTTTTGTGTTTTCCCCTCCCCTCAAGAAAGAGGCATGTGACCATGGAGTAGCCCTTGGTCTTCTAATCACAGGACCTGTCTCAAACATTTTGTGACAATGAGACATGAAGGGAGTAAGGAGAAATAAAGCTAACAGCTGTGTAAAGCTCTTCTATCATCCTCAGACCTAAGTGAAGCCAGTAGTACCAAAGTGAGAACAAAAAAAACCCTTCAACGTTATAAACGCTAGCCATTCATCTATCAGTCCTTTCTTAAAACTTAAACAAATAAATAAAATTTAAAAAGGCAGACAGTACTTAGGAGGATAAGCCTTTGCTAATAATGAAGCCACGAGAACCTCTTGAGCAGAGATTAGCAAACTAAGTAACCTTTTGGGAATTCTCCCATGCCATTCAGCTAGTTAACAAAACTATTCCATTCTTTGACTGATGGTCCTTGCAGAGTTCCTCCTACCTGAGGCAGCAGAAGGGACATTCAGGCTGGGTCTGTGCTGTATTCCGTGCTCCCTCTTCTGGCACCCAGGCCCCGCCAAAAGCCAGCAGCAGCCTCTGGGGGAGGGAGGGATAGGGAATGTTGGGAGGCTACCGCAAATGCATCCTGTTGGCTGCACAACCACTTCTATTTCTGTCTTTATCAGGGATTTACAGAGTAGCGAGTTTCTTGTATCAAACTGGTGGCCTCTAACGAAGTGCTTCCCATTTTCTGAGTTCCAAATTCAAGCCTGGAAAATAAATGCAGAAATATCAAGGAGAATCTACTGTATGCATACAGCCTTCTCAGCACTGCAAACCTTCTGAGGAACAGAGCATCCCAATAATGCTGCACCAGGAAAAGCCCTAATAATGCAGACAGGACCAGAGCATGTACTCACAAGTCAAAGAAAAAGCCTATTGCTGAATTTAACACAGTTCTAAAATTATAGCTAGAACTCCTACTGCTGAACAATCTCTACCCTCAAATAACCTGTACATTATATTCAGTGAAACTGTGCTCCGATTAAATGAAAACCAACCCAATTTAGCAGCCATTCTTTTATTGAATCCCTCTATGCCTTAGCTTTCTCAGCAATACAGTGATGATAATGCTACTAGCTCAGAATTTTGGGAACTCGTTAGTATGAGCATTCAGATACTCTCCTAATGATTACTCAGGAAAAGCCTGCATGAAAAAAAAACAAAAACAAAAACCCAAAACAACAACAACAACAACCCCCCCCCCAAAAAACAACACAAAAAACCCCAAAACAAACAAAAAACCTCCACTGTATTCAGATAAACACTTAACATCATGCAAACACAGAGAAATAACTTTTCTGGTTTTTTAATTAAGTGAGAAGTTTCCATCTCAAACTGAAGGATCATGCATGTATTAAAAATGATCATATAATTAAGGATTATCATGATACACAGGCATGATGTCACAGATGGAAAACTTAAGCAATGAGCACTGAATTCTTCAACTTAATTTTCCTATATGTTAAGGTTTGCATGCAATTATACATAATTTTATGTTCAGACGCAAACAGAAACTATTAGACTTGTATTTAATGGCAAGAACTCTCTGGAAGATAAAAAAAATTAGTAAATTGAATGTCTATGTGTTTTCTTCTATAAATAAATAAATTGATCCTGAGATTAACTTGGCTGCAGTTAGTTACCCAAACATTAAAAAAAAAAATATTAAAAACATCTTTGAAAATTTAATTAGCATATTTTGGCAAAAGGAGATGATTCCTCAGAACAAAAATTAAATGACATGGGAAAATTCACATTATCAAGCACATACTATAATTTTTGTATAGTACTGCAAACATGACATGAACACCTGGCTTATGGATACACAACTTCATAACTTCTAAGCACAATTAATTCCAATAGAACACCATGGACGCTCTGTAATAACTTGGCAATCTCTCAAAGGAAAAACTGTGACATTATTTAATTTTCCTAAAGCAAAGTGAAGAATGAGCCCGGACTTATTAAAATAGAGTTAACAGATGAAACACAATATTTTCAGGGTTTCATTCACAGATAGGCTTAATTCACTTTTATTGTTTTATAAATCTAGCCAAACTTGTAGCATTAAAGAAAAAAATAATCTATTTTGACTTTGTAAAGTATCACTAGAGTAGCTTTGTGAAAGATGAAAAAAAGACAGGAAGAAGTTTCATTCTGAGAGACCACTGTAGTAAGTTCAGGCCACTCCTGTTTACGCTGAGGAATTTACTCCAAGCAGTCTGTGGTGCAGCATGTGACTCAAGCCACTGGGAAGCCTGTGTTCAACAAAGTGGAATAAAATACTTGGAATAATAAAATCTAATTTCTTGATTTATAATAAAGCGCGAATAGTACAAACTTCAGGGTAAATGCACCTAAGGAGATTTGTATCTAAAGTCACCTGTGACACTGCTTGAAAGCACACGGGGGGGAGCTGCCCCACTCAAAATTATGTTATTTTCTTCACTCTCTTGCTCAGCTCCCCATTTTCTTTCATCTCCCTTTTTTGTCCTTCAGCAGGACTGTTAGAATTTTTCCAGCTTCTTGACTATTTTCTGTTACACGTGAGGGAATTTCACGGAGGGAAGAGACCTTTCCCCAGGGTGCCGTTTCCCCACTCCGCACACAAGCTAGATAAGGACAAGGCTAAGCAGACTGGCTTGCGTAACACGTTTGAATACGGCTACACCCCAAATACCCAGAGTGCACTTTTGCCTCTTGGTAAAGGGTTAGGAGACTATGCTCACTCTTCTCTGAACGCTATTATGTGCATCTCAGCTCAGAACCAGACACTGACCCTGCTCTGTGCATCAACTGCTCTTAAACATAAAGACCCTGAGAGTCTCAGAAGCCTCAAAACCAAGAACCGACAGAAGATATAGCATAGATATGCACACCATTTCTGCATTTTCCTAACCAATTTTAATTGCTTACAAAGAGTTTGTAGCAAGATTCTAGGTAAGACAGATCTCACGTTAAGGTTCAAAATTCGGAAGCAGTAGCAGTTCAGCCTAATAAATATTTTTATAATATCTGAAGATTAACAGTCATAGATTCCCCTAAGAGCTTTAAATGCTACCTTATTTCTGCAAGCAACAGGAACTGATACTCGACTACATTTGATAACCCTTTGTAGTAAACAACTTCAAAACCTATTTCTCATTAGTTTTCCCCAATTATATTAGACTGTAAACAACCGTAGTTAAAAATTTAAGTCCTATGTTTTTTTAAGAATGATTTTCAAATCAGCTATCATATCAGCATTTGATCAATGCACTAAGTTTGAGGGGATTTGCTTTCCAGTTACTCTGAAAATAAAAATACTTCCTTTTATCTGGGCAACACAACAGCATTCAATGTAATGCACCTATCTATCAGCAGTCTGTAAGGCCGAATCCAGATTAAGCATATCACCAACAGATACATTGAGAATCGTAATCAAACAACAAACTTCTTTCTTTTAAATTACATCTGTGCGTATTCGTGTGTTTTCACTGCTTTAAGTTCTTGATTTGCTTGGGCAATTTTAAGAGATTACTTAGTTTATATGTTATTTGGCCAGTATTGCTTTTATTTACTATTTAAGTTTTCTGAAGCGTTCTTCTAGCACACATACAGAAATGCATAAATTCTCATGTGTATTGTCTGTCCACATATTCACAGCTGCACAAATTTCTTCCTTTTTAATTTATGCCCATATAAAAGTTAGGTAAGGCAACTGCTTACTCAGAAATTTCAACATAGTTACTGTTGACTGCCATTTGAATTGGTAAAAATGTAAAGATGAGATAGTGGTATGTGACGAAGAAGAATTGCTGGCAAATCTGCAATACTAAGAACTCTCCTACTAGTAGAATTTCACCACTTTTACTTATAACAAACATCATGAAGTTATTAGGTTAGGTTTTGCTTTAAGTTAACTGGACCTTCCCCATCCAAGTATGACATCATAATTCTTAATCTACAAAAACCCTTTGCCAAATTTAATCTGATCATTTCTGTATTTGTGAGCATGGTTCCTTTTTAACATTCAGAAGAACTCTCAGTTTTGCATCTCAATCAAACTTTCACACATTCAACCAGAAACATGAATCACACTAGTGCTATTTCAGGGAACAGTGTATAGCCATAGTGGCAGGGGGAAGCGTGCCATCCACCAGATCACACTGACACAGAGGTCATCATAAAGTAATGTGTGAGATTAAAGGTAATTTACTAAGACCAAATATTTTTTTTTTTCAAAGAAAAAACCTGAACCCATTCGCTGTCAGGACATTCATGACTTCTGTGCTACAGACCACTGCTTGCTAGAACATCAAAACATTTTTGCCATTGAGGCCCTAATCTGCATTACAGTTACGATAACTTAAAGCAGCAAGTTTGGTTTTTTTTTGCCTGCAAGAAAATGATATGAATTTGACAATCTTTCTAAATTTACTGTTCTAGTATTGCCAACCCAGAGTGTTCAGAACACCTAAGTCAGGACCTACAAAAAAATTAGGATTTCAAAGGTATGACAGTTTAGAAATCAAGTGGGAATGCATTTACGTATTTATTTTTACTTCTCCTTCAGTTGCATTTAGGGTTTTCCTGCTTTGTGTTTCATACTTCATTGCACAACTGAAAAACCATCAACTTTGAAGTGCTTATAATTTAAGAGTTTAGATGACCATAAAATTCACTAATTCCAAGAGGTGGACCTGTGTGAAGAAGGGAAAGTATTAAAAAATTACAATAATTACAGATAACATTTTTGAAGTGTTTAATCAATTTGCTTGGGTGTTTTTCAATAGTGTTTATGTAGCCAAAATTTCCTGCTGTTTTATTTCCTGAGTGGTAATACCATGAAATTGAAATGGGGAAGGTGCACATCCTGTTGGAAGATTTAGGAGGGTGTCATAAATGATTTAAATAAACAGCTTAAGAAGGTGGGTCTTTTCAATGTAAAAGTGTTTTTAATTTTTTTTAAGATTATCTAACCCAAGCCTCCTGCGGTAGTTAAGTTCCAGTAACTGTACTAAAAATTGTGAACAAGTGTGCAGAAGTAGCCTGTAATGCTGGACATCCACTTTTCCATGTTTGCTATGTTGTTTAGCATTTAATTTAATGCATAAGACCTTTCACTTATGATTTAATGGTGTACTATTGAAGAATAGTCACTTATGGTCTATAGTAAGCAGCAGAATCTTTAAAGATACTAGCGCACTAAAATGTAATAAAGAATTTTAAAGTATTATTCAGTAAGAAGGGGTAGGGCTTACTGAGTAAATGCCCCTTGTTCAAGTGTACATTTGCCACAGCAAGTTAAGCAAACAATGAAGTCTTTAGCCCAGCATATGCAGTTACTCCAACATTTGAACATTTTTTATTAAATACGGTTGAGCTGCATGTTACTAAAATTTGCCAATTTTGCCTTTCTGACCCTCTCTTCTACCAGAAGTTCATCCTGTAATTCTTGTGCTTATTTTTACATTGCACCTCTATTATATGCTATCTGCAGTCTTAAGAGGAAATTTACTGGATTCTCTACTCCATCTAATAGGCTGCATTTTCAAAAACCATGTATATAGCATATGTACATACACACAAATAAAATTAACTTCTGTTTCTAAGAATTTACAGTTTACTGTTTAATACAAGTAGCATATAGCTAGTGATACTAGTTATACTCATCAGAACATAATGTTGCCACAACTCAAGAGCAGCACCAGCAAAAATGGAAATGAGTGAGAATATTTCACCCACCAGAAAGCAAATGCAGAGTTAGTGGCACACTGACAAGAGCAACTGTGGCCTGCTCTCTGTAAAGCAGCAATAATGCAGATAGGTAATAAGCACAAAATTCAGTATAAAATATATTAAAAAAAAAAAAACAACAAACAATTGAAACTGTAACACAGGATACAGCTTCCAGAACATTCACTTAACATAGCTATACTTAAAAAACCCCAGCCAAGAGAAAGGCCAAAAACCCATGCAAGCAACACTGAATTGTGACAATTCAGGTACTGGACCTATCCTGTCTGTTTGCAAGAATTGCATAACATTTACACACTGAAATTCACTGTATACAATAACATTTAAAAACAGTACAGGTTTTATTTTACAAATAAACTCAAAAATTGTGCTGACAAGTACTATATATACAGAGATGAATAAAAGGACCTTTTTCTATATAGCAAGATTTCTTTCATTTTCCCTACTTTTGATCTTTGACTCTTTAGTATGCAACAAGATACTTCGTAATTCCTGAGTATCAAGGTAATTTCGGTACATTTTAAAATTATAACTTCCACCAGAAATAGGTAATTTTCTTTATTTAATACCATTTAAAAGCATGCATATTAAGACAAATAGATCAGAAAAAAAAAGTCTTAATGCACAAGCCCCTTCTTCACCCTAAAAACGGAGGAACCCCGTTTACAAACATGAAACAAACAAACCCGGTGGTGTCACACTAGAATCAGCTTCACGACCTTATCGTAAGGGATCTCCATCTGTTTCAGCTATAAGCCGAATAATCAAGCTGTAAGAACCAAGACATCGTTAAGGTAAAATAGCAATTATTACCAAGCTGGCATCGCAAGACCAGAGTCCAATACAGACATTTTGTACCTTTGGCGCTGGATAATGTTACTTGAAGCATCAGCCTAATAGCCGGTTTATTCATAAGGCACGCACTAAAATGAAACAAACAGTAATTAAGTGCTAACAGTGACCTAGTTAACTACGCAAGAAGGTAGATCGTCCTGCCATTCATTACAGGTTCGCCGAAATCCGACAGGAACTGACCCGTCCGCCCGGGCAGCGCGGGAGCGGGGCGCAGCGCCCCCCGTGCGGGCAGCCCCGGGCTCCGGGCCGGCGTCGCCAGCCGCTCCTGCTGCCGCCCGGTCTCCGCAGCCCCTGGGTCTCCGAGAGCTACGCCCCGGCGAAGGCAGCGCCAAGGCCGCCTGCCTTGGCCTTCGCCTTCCCCTCCCCCGCACCGCAGCTCCGGCAGCTCCGCGCTGGGATAACGCAGCCTCTGACTCGCTCACTGCTCGCTCCCCCTTCACCTCCCTCGCCTCCCTCCCCCAACGGGCGCGCTCGAGAGTCTCCTCTCGGCGGCGGGAGGGCGGTGAAATCCTCCGCTCTCCTCCCTCCGCGCTCCGCAACGCGAACGAGCCGCCGCCTTCTGTTCCTCAGCCTCGGCCAAGTCGGCGTTTGTTGACAGGCTCTGCCGGGCACAAAATGGGGCTGCCGCTTCCATGGGCGCCGCCATTTTGTGAGGAGCCGCCGCGCTCCCTTGCAGCAGCCGCAGCCTCAGTCGCGGCGGCAGCGGCAGCCCAGGCGCGCCGGAGCGGCGGCCGGGATCTGTGTAATGGTTGAATAAAGTGACCCCGTCTAGGGAATCCCCGGCTGACAGTTACGTAAGGGACCGTGCGCAATTGCTTAGCATGGAAACCCACCTAGCCCTGCTACGCAACTTGCCTGTCCTCCCCTCTGCCTCCCGCTCCCTTCACAGAGCGCCCGGGTGAGCGGTGACTCACCTCTGCCGACCGCCCCTCGCGGACCAGAGACCCCCTGCTTTTAAGGAATTTTTAAGGCATGATTAAAAACCACCGCCCTCTCGTGAAGGGAGGTTTGACAGTGTGTCTAAAACAGCGATTTAGCCCCCCAGTCGCTTGTTTTAAACCTGTCTGATTTGTATTATCCTGGCTTTGCCAGTCTTACGCATACTGTAGATGAAATAGCAGAAGCTCAGAGTGTTAGAGACAGGAGCTGCAGACCAAGATCTGAAGGTCTAATTTTAGGGGGGGGGGCTCTTAATGCTACAGTGAATAAGACACTATGCATTTCAGACTCTGCAATCCACACACCACCAACTTCCAGTACAGAGTATTAATTTGCAACTCACATATTTCTCCATCCTTCCCCCCAAATCATGAACCCAGGGCAAATCTTACCAAGCATTATTCTGTCTCTATATTCAAGCTGAAACAGCACTCAAGTCAAAAGGAAAAAAATATTCTTTGAAAAAAATTGTTTTCTGAAGTTAGTACATGGAGTAGAAAGGAATTGCAGGTTTCCTTCTTTAAGTGCTCACTGGAGGCCATCATGTGCCATTGATTCTAAAACACAGCTCCTTACTTACTTTATTGAGTTCTGCTTAAAAAAACCCAAGCCTGTAGGTCTGATCTAGCTTTGGATTTCAATATAAGGTTGTGAGGGGCAAATATTCCTTCAGAGTCTCTTAAACTGGAGCAAGCAACTCACCTGCGGCTGTTTGCATGCCCGGGAAGGACAAATGCCCACCCGGGCACCGCTTGCTTTATCTGAGGAGTGAAGGTTCGATGGAAGGCACACTTCACCCCCATGGGCCCTTTCCTGTTAAGCCCAAGTGGCATCAAGCTCCACTGTGGTCGGCGTGCAGGTCTTCTCCTGGTTTCCCATGTGGAAAAGACGTCAGGAGGTGTTTACAAACACTGCGCACACCACAGGCAGAGGGGAAGCGGCTTGCAGTGCCGCTGGGGGCTGCTGCCCATCCAGGGTGAGGGCCAAGACCTTCCTCCTCCATAAACTGTGCTGCATGTTCCATTTGTCAATGTACAGAAAGATATGAGCTGCTTATATCGTATACAGCAATCTTGAGGCACTTAGATTACAGGCCATAGTATCTCAAGAGAAAGAAGAAAAAAGAAATATTCATGGAGTGACCCTGAGCCTAGGCTCCAGCTGACAAACCTCTCCAAGACATTTCCTACTCGGGGGAGCACTCGGCAATCTCCTTTGGGGAGTTCTAAAGCCCTCATGCCTCGAAATGAGGGGTTCCTGCTGCCCTCCCCGCCCCCGCAGTGCCATCCGGGGCGACTTCCTGCCCTTGGAAACACCTCGGCCTGGGAGACTCGGAAAGTTTTCCGAAAGTCCACAATCCCACCAGTGCCCCCTTCGGTTGTTGTTTTCTCTCCCCTTGAACTCAGGGCGTTGGGTTTAGTCCAATTAAAAAATTCGTCCCCGCTTTCCAAATCCACCTTTCCCGCCCCCCCGCCCCCAGCCAGCGGAGAGAGGCCGGTCGGCGCGAGCCTGGCACGGGAGGGCCCCGCACCGGCCCCGCGCCCCGGAACAGCCGGTAGTAGCCGTTTTTTTCCTCCCTCTTCTCCCTCTCCCTCGCCTCTTTCCGCCCGGCTTTGTGTGAAGTTTGCGGCACATTGCAGATGAGCCCTTAGCGGCGAGAGGAGCCTATTGTTCCCCGCCAGGAACTGCTTGCTGGGGCTGTGCTGGCTTTTGCCTTTGGAGCTGCCTCCTGCAGTACCGGAACCGGCCTCCGGGGCCCGCTGTGTCGCGCTCTCGTCCAGGCAGAAGCACGGCGGCCTCAGATCTTTTTGTCTGAGCGAGAAGAGAAGTGAATCCCGCTGCCGCCGCCGCCACCGCCGCCGCCGCCGTAGCTGTACAGTGTGTGTGTGTAAGGGAGCGAGCGAGGGAGCGAGCGAGCGAGGGAGGGAGATCGCATGGAGCCGCGGCTGTAACACACACACACTGTCAATACCTCACTCCGGCTCCCCCCCCGCCCCACCACAACAGTAACCCAATTCATTGTGTGATCCAGCAGCACCATGTTGAGTCTCATGTGCAGGCTGGATCGGCTGGGTTTGTGGTGCTGAGAGAGGCAGCAGCCGCGGGAGGAGGAATTACTGAGAGGTGCCCCTCTCCCTCCCTGCCTCTTCGCCCGTGTGTTGTGTGGAGACAGGACTCGCAATTACCACACTCTCGGGGCTCCCTTATTCCTTTTAAACTTTTTTTTAAACAAGCCCCTCTCCATGGCTGATCCCCGGCCGAGCACGGGCACCTGGGTCTCTTAAAGACAAGGAGGAGCCGGGGATTGTTGTTGTTGTTGTCGGCCGTTTTTTTTTGTTGTTTTTTTTTTAATTGGATTTTTTTTTTTACGAGAACCTTTTTTATTACAAAAATGGCAAATTCGACGGGTAAAAACCACGCAGACCAGCGGAGAAAGGGACTCGCTTTCCTGGACGAGCTGCGGCAGTTTCACCACAGCAGAGGGTGAGGAAAATGGGGAGATGGAACGGGAGGGGGGGAGGCTTTTAAATCGACCAGATCCAACTTCCAGCCCCTTCCCTGAAGGACACGGCAGCCCCAGCGAGGGGAGAAAAGGGGGCAGAGCTGACAAGTTGTGGTGTTTTGTGTGTATCTCCTTTGGCAGGTCTCCTTTTAAGAAGATCCCCGTGGTGGGTGGGAAGGAGCTGGATCTTCACGCTCTCTATACCAGAGTCACCACTTTAGGCGGATTTGGGAAGGTGAGTGGAAGTTTTAATTTGGGTTTCCCTCCCACTAACCTCTTCCCAAAAGTCTCCTCTGACCCCCGGGGGTGGCGGGGGGAGCCGGGGTAGCCGGGAACCGTCCTATTTAAAGCCGGTTAGCGAAGGTGGGGGGTGGAAGGAGGAAGCTAGCAGATAGGCAGGTTGGTGGCTCGGCCTTGTCGGCGGAGCGATGGAGGGGGACCCGGGGCTACGGCGCGCACCCCACTCCTGCCTCCTCCGCCTCCGCAGGACCCATTCGCCTATGCCCCCCTCCCGCGGGAAGGCGAGGGGGGAGCAGGGAGCTGCTGGGCGGCGAGAGCAGGCTTTTTTCAGCTGTGGTGGCAGCTCTGTGCGTCTCTCTTGCAGAGGAAGAGACAGAGAGGAGAGAGTCTGAGTGCAGTTTTAGTGCAACTCAAAATTAGCGGGCATGTTTAACATCGATAATCGGCACGGAGCATGGGCTAGGGAACGATCCTCGCAGCCGGGGGGGGCCGGGCGCTGCCCTCCGAGCCCTTCCCGGGGAAAAATAACAAAAGGGGCACCCAAGACGGTGTGTAATCAAATAGCCATCTTTAGGCTTCAAGGCTGGGGACAGAAATGTAGGCCTCAAAAGAAAGGCCTCTCTGTGTCTGTGGATCTGTGTTGGGGGGACCCCCCGGGCGGGCGCCCCTGCGCCCCGCAGCCCAGGGGGCGCCCCCCGCCAGCACTTCCCTGCATTATTTTAAACTTCTTTGGGTTTTTAACGGACCGCGTTAGGATTTAAAAGGGGGCGACAGAGGGACTCCCGATTGGTTATTGTCCAGGCAGTAAAAACAAAAACAAACAAACCCCAAAACAATACCACCACTCCCGGCCGTTCCCCCCGAAAAAAAGAATGTGTATGTTAAAAAAATAAATGTAGTAAAAGACCCCTGAGAAGCAGGATTATTCCCGGAAGGGGAATACTACGATTGTCAGTAAAATATATAATCCTAAATCCCATATACATTCGTGTTTGTTACTTTTTATATATTTATCTATTTGCTTCATGGCAGCCTGTGGATTTTATGTGATGTTCGCTGTCAGCAACATGTTTACGTGTCCGTTGTGTATCTCGGCTTGTGTGTTGTTTTTGACAGGTATCAGAGAAGAATCAGTGGGGAGAAATTGTAGAAGAGTTTAACTTTCCCAGAAGTTGTTCTAACGCTGCCTTCGCTTTAAAACAGTATTACTTGCGGTGAGTGCTATCAAGCTGTTGCAGTAGTATTTTTGAGTGCAGGGTTATATTTAGTTTTCAGTGTGTGCAATAATAAAAATATCCCTAGTCTTTTAAAATGCTATAAAATAAAGCAGAAAAAAACTTGTAATTCCTTTCTCGTCTGGTCTAGTGATCAGTTAAAGGTGATTCTGCTCTGTAGTTTTTTTTATTTTACATCTGCAAGCCTTAAACTTTGAAGAGGTCCCAAGTACACAAACAATATATGTCAGAGGCCATTTTTTTGATTGTTGCAGAAT